CCTTACCAGCGTTAATTTAAGATGCAGAAAATGCATAAAACCGGATGAAATAATGCATATAATGTACACATTCTATTTATTGTAATCTCAATCAGTATATTCATTCAAATGAAAATAAAAACAGGCGCAAATTTGACACTGTAAAATAACACTTAGGATCCGTTTGATTGGTAAACGTGGAAAGACTTTTCAATTTTATGTAAGTTGGAAAATAAAAATCTAATTACCCCATAAAAATGTTTTATATGAAATTGTCAAAAAACAAGTTTAAAGTGGTTGTACCTTGAAATTCGAACTCTATTTTCACTTTCGTATCAAACAACTACCGTAGAAATTCAATTCCTTAGATGTGACATTTTCCATGGAATTTAAACCAATCAAACGAACCATTATTCACATAGTAAGTTCATTCGAATGAAAATAAATTTGACGCTATATAATAACACTTATTCACCCTTCAATTCATACATCAATGCATAAATAAAACCTATTCACATTTTGGAAAAAAGTATGTTGTCCAGAGAATTTCCAAGATGAAGGATTTAACATATTTAGCTAGCAACCTTACATACCTAGTTAATATTGCTCAAATAATAATACAAATAACTCCAGCAATAAACATAAGATTCGATGAGAATGGCAATTGTTCAAGGAAACTCATAAAAAATGCAAAGCCACAGCAGCAAAATAGGCCAATTTTTCTCGAAAATCAGCCACACGCACGTCGACTCCTCCATCCTAACTGACAAGCTTCCCTTGGTGAACGCACAAACCTGATGATTCACCTCAGCCTTGAAATATATGGAGAAGCCACCATAAGAAAGAAACTATAAAGAGCAGCTATTGATATTGGGGATTCAATTTCAGCCCCCGTTCGGCCTCCATTAAAATTAGGAAAAATTGCAGTCACGGTACCAAAATTTTCATTTAATTGCAGACTTTGTCCAAATCTTTCATATGTGGGACCCACGGTACCAAACCTTTAAAAAACTCGCACCCGGAGTCCAAGTTGACAGTAACCGTTAATTGACCAAAAATTAAAGGTCCGACAAATTGTTGACTAATTTTTAAAGAGCAAATAAGTAATTTTACATTTTTTTCATATAAAAAAACTAAAATAAAATAATTAAATCAAACCCAATGTCATCTTCTCCAACCATCCCACCCAAAATCAAACTGTTGGCACCACCACAACGGCGCACCCACACCTC